TTGAAAGTAAAAGCAGTTTAGTGGAAACAATATTTGAATTGATTTGCCTTGCTGACATGCTGGGTTGCATTGCTCCAGCCCTGAGCTGTGCTCATGCAGCTGAGCTGCTTCTGGGACTGACCCAAAACCTGCACAGAGCTATGTTTTGCACACATTAAGGTCACAGGGTGATCAGCACTAACTTCAGTCTTTGTGCTGCATGGTACCCAGGGAATAAGATCAAAGGAATAAGCCCCCTCTGATGCTCCCCTTCTTGCCCAGGTTTGTACCCCACTAACCAACTACAAAGGTGATAATTTGTATTTAAAGAATTTGTTGTTTTATTGCTGCAAGAACTTGCAATCCTCTGATTTTTAGGGTTAGCAGCTCATTTTGAGTGTTTTCTGTTCAAAATGCAGGTGGGTTGGAATCAGTCACAGGGTTTGGTAGCCTAGATGGTGAAATCTTCCCTTGTTCCCAGGGTTTTTATCTCATTCTTTTCTAGGGAACACTTGCTCTATTTGCACACCTGCAATTCAGCAAACTTGAAGAATATCTAGAGAAAACAAAATGTTTTCAGCTAAGCAGAAAGTGACTTCCAAATTACAGTGACTGGTCCTGGGGTCCTGTCAAGCAGCACATCCTGATTTCAAGCAGACTTCTTCCTAAGACCAGCTGCAAGCATCTGCCCCACAGAGAAGAAAAATCATCCCTCCTTGGCCTACCTGCTTCTGACAGGACCCACAAGGGCACTGGTCTCTTCCCAGCTAGAAGTGCAGAAGGCCAAGAATAGGAGGGCTCAGCTTTGGTCGGCTGTTGCAGCATCCTCAGGAATGAGGCAAGCTGGTGTTAACTTGCACCTTTGCACAGCTGAATTAACTCCTGGCATCAGGAGAGCTGGCTTAGGTTCCTAGAGGAGCAAGCATCAGGAGGACCTGGTCTTCTATAGCTGCTGGGACATTACAGTTCTCCCTAGCAAAGAGAGACCTGCCTATGCCCATTGCCTGTACTGCTGCTCTGGGTCCCTCTTATCCCATGGGAATGTCAACAGGACACAGCTGCTGTCAGATCTGCAGTCATGGCCATATGCAGAGCAGCTGTGGGTCCTCTCTGCCTCAGGTGCTACAACAATCCATCCCCTTCTCCCATGGGATGCTCCGCACCGACCCTCCCAGGCTCCCTGTGGCAACGGGGGCTGTCCCGTCTGTGCACAGGACTTATTGAGGACTCCAGGTGAGGACTTTTCCAGTAGGGTGAGCTGGTTTTGCTAGCAGAGTAGCAAATTCATCGAGAAACCCTTGTTCTTGATGCCTCCCTTTGCCTTTGGAGAGGAGGCTGCAAGCAGTCTCTTCCTCCAGACCTGCCTGTGCACTTTTTGGTGGGGATGTTCCTGGACATTAACACGTACCCTCAGGCTGGCCTTCAGTGGTTCATCAGTTGTGAGTAATTAACAAGTAAATAAAAGTACATAAGTGAAGTGCTCGAGTGGGGTTTGCGTGTCCCTTGACAGGCTGAGCACAGCTCCTTGGGACAGTGCGGTGTGGCAGCTGGCAGCCAGCGGTGGGAATAAACCTTGTGTCACCAGACACCTCCTCTCCCGAGACATCGCCTTCCCCTGATAAACCTCCAGCCCTTACATCAGTAACTGTTACAGCTACAAATCAGCTCTTTTCCAGCCTTGCCGAGCAAAGCTCACGCTCCCCAAGTACCCTCCAGTGACACGGACATGCACAGCCGTGTCATCCCCCTCTGGACACTGCCTGTACCGGGGGTGGATGAAGAGGGGAGGAAGACCATGGCACGGAGCACACTTTGGGTAAGTGCCCATCCCAGCTGCATGCTCAGCCCAGGGAAGGGGCGGCTGGTGTGATTCTGCACCGCTCACCTGGGCATAAACCCTATCAGCAGGACACGGACGTGTTCCTCTGGCTTCTAATTAGTCACCGCATATGCCAACCGTGTTTTAATAAAAATGAAATGGCGTCCAAATCTAAAATAGCCAGGAACAAAAATTGTCCTGTGATGTGGCATTGCGCTGTTTATGCATAAATAGAAATCACGCGGTGGTCCTGGAGCCCCAGCACCAGCTAGGGTCTAGTTGTGTCTGTGTTTGAAGCCTGGCCTCCACAGGCCATGAGGTGGGTCACCGAGGTGGAGTTAGGCTGTCCGTTTGGGGGGAAAGGGTGGGACAGGAGACCTATTACTAAGGCAAAAGCAGTGTCAGGGGAAAGGAGAATTTGTGAAAACCGAGGTGTCGGGGCTCAGGGCTGCTGCACACCACCACCATGAAACAGAAGTGGGTTTTGGCACGGCTGCTTGGGTGCTTGTCTTGGGCTCTCTGGGGTCAGAGAAGCATGGATGTTCAACAAATACCCAGCTGCTAGACTCGAGTTCTGTACTCATTTTAAACTTGGCTTGCAGTCTGATCCTAGGTCTCATTTACTAAATCTCTGTTTTACCATTAACTGTGTCAGGAAGTCTGGCCAGGGTGAAGTGGGCTAAAATTGATGGGACTCAGGGTGCTGTTCAAGGATCACTGTCTCTGAAAGAACAAGTCATGGCGATAGACGTGTGTACCTCTGACCTGAGATAAGCAGTTGGTGCCAGGAGCTGTCACTTTTTTGCTAGCAGAATGGCACAAAGGGTTGGGATGTAGGGCCTGCTTTTGCCCAATATTGAGATTGAGAAGGAATAGTCTCAGGCATAGCCCAGGGTCTCAGATGGCAGAGGGATGCTCTCCACCTTCAGGCAAACTGCAATGCACCAGATCTCCAGGCAGCAAATTGAGAACAGTTCATACATATCATGTGTAGTACCATGAAACAAACCGAGAATGGTGGGTACGTACCATGTGTAGTACACCGAGCCATTTGTATCTCAGCTACCCCAGCTTGTTCAGGTTTTGGGGTGCTCTGCAGCTATGGTTTGCCTTGTGAACAAGAGGAGCACCAGTTCCAGATAAGGGAATTTTGTTTCCCTGCCAGCAACTGTTCCCAATGCAAAGTGTGAGCCAACACACAGCAGCTCAGTTTAACCCTGGCTGTCTACCCAGACGTGCAAAGCCATTTACCCACTGTGTGCGAGCACCCCCAGCCCTGCAGTTCCTTCCACAGGCAGCCTCTACACAAGGCTCAGCCCTCCCAAGCCATGAAAAACACACACCAAAGCCTTTCTTGGCAAGAGCCCCCAGTTACACAGCAGGGCCCTGGGTCCTGCAGATGAGCATCCGGACACATGCACGGGTGGGAGACGGCAGCTGCCACCTGTGGCTCCTGCCTTGCAGCACAGGATGGGGCCACCAAGCAGGCAGTTTGGCTGCCAGGTACTGAGCAATGCTGACTTGAAGCAGGCTCTGCCAGCTTACATTCTCTCCCACTTGGAGGGTATCTGGAAAGCCTGGATCCATCACCAATGGCACAATGGATCACCACCCATACCCATACAGCTTTTGAGAGCTGCACGTGACCTGGAAATCCAGAGATCAGCAATTTCTCTGATTTAAAAAAAAAAAAAAAAAAAGGCAAAAAAAAAAGTCCCCAGGGGCTCTTGAATGTTCCTTCTCTGATTCCCACATACAGTCCTCTATGTGCACATCCCTGCAGCAGGTGAAAGATGCTACTGAGGGCTCCAGCTGGCCCCTCTCCCACCACGGCCTAACGCTTAACCAAGCGCCAAGGCTGGCATGAAAGGAGCCTTTCAAAGAAAACAGACCAACCCAGTCACTTCAGACTAGAGGCTTCAATAAATTGTAAGTCAGCAGAGCTCTTGGCACTTCCGAGTGCCCTGTTTTTACAGCCAGGCTCTTCCACTGCTACCCATGCCCTAGTAGTTTTAATTTTCTGTTTTGCTGGTTCCTACCTCCATTCCCAGCTAAAACCTAAGGGACCTGGAGGTGGAGGCGGCAGGAGGTAAAGATGATGTAAAAGCATTTGAAAGCACTGGTGTAGTGCTGTGAAATAGCCCCTAATCAAGCCCAAAACTGATTTCGGTTGGAGTCAGAGAACTCCTGCACCAACCCAACCCCTAGGGAAGGAAAGCCCCAGCAGTGGGGCATGAAAGGGCTCTCTGCTCCCCTGTGCAATGGTTATACTTGGCAAGCAGAGGGAAATGAGTAAATAAACATTCAAAAAAGGTTTACAGTTTGGACTCAAGATCTGGAGATTATATTTAGTAACCTCCCCTTTATTTTAGCATGTTCCGTCACCAACTGAATTCGTGACATGGAAATGGCTTCGTGTCTGCTCATGTTTGAGCTGCATCATCAGCTGATGCCTCTGAAGACATCAGTCAGTCACAGGGCATTTGCCATGTTTCCTTCTTGCCTCCTGTCCCACCACTGTAGGTGTGAGTTGTTCTTGGGAAGCTTCAAGCAGGCTTTTTGCAAACTAAAAAGCTATGTTAACAAAAAAGAAAAAAAAGTAACCTACCCTTGCAAATAGTTACACTGCTTTATTTTTCAGTATCAGTGTCTCAGGAAATGAAACAGTCCAGATCCATTCCAAGATATTACACAGCTTTTTTTCCATCTCTCTGGCCACAAAATAATCAAATTAAATATAAATTTGTTGTTTTGCTACATCTATTATATTGGAAGAACATAATTATCGGTAGAAGCAGCTAAGCTCAAGCAGCTAAGCTCCAGCAGCCAAGGGTGGAACGAAGCGCTGTTTTCTTCTGCTCTTGTGTAACCCACTTCAGTGTTCCCAGAAAAGCACACAGAGGGACAGAAGGATGTGGTGGATAACAAAATACAGCGGTTTATTAAACAAAATGGGGCAAGGCAATGTTCCCTTTACATTCAATGAGAATTCAGGAGTACGAAGCAAAACATGCTATACACACAGGGACACGATACTTTGGTTAAATGTCATTCAGAAGTTCTATGCCAAACCCGGTAAAATTAGAGTGAACAGTCAAAAATAAGAAAAAAAAAACTAGGCTTGCATAGACAGATTATTGTCAGTGTGCAATTGATATTTAAGGATTAGCTGTTGCAACACAGGGCACACTTGCAGCTCTGAAGAATTTAAGCCTTCTGACTAATCCATCTCGCTGCATGGCTAATATTTAGATTCAACAGGCTGGAAGTTTACCCTGAAGAGCTAAGTGAGACAACTGCAGTTATTTCTCCGAGGCAGTTAACGGTACCGCAGTGCGCAGATACAGCTGGAGACACACCGTGGAGTCGGCACTGATACAGTGGAACTTGTTTACAGTGAAGCAGAAAACACTCATTTGTGTGTGCCACCGTCCTCTCCGAGACTCTCCTGGAAGAGCCCGAACTGTGCAGCTAAGCCTTGCCCTGTGCTACTCACTGGGAGGAGGTGGCTGATGGTACCTCCAGCCCAGAAGCTGAGGGTGGGGCAGCTTCTCAACACAAAACCTGTGTCCTGCAGCCTGTCCGGGGCATAGCAGTCCAAGCAGCGCTTGTGTGCAGCACGGCCAGAGCCTCCACGGCAGCGCTGCACAGCCAGAAGTGTGCTACAGTACATATTTTTCTAAAAAGAGTAAACTGGGATCTCTGTAGGTTTATGCCTGTCCTCTGCAACAACAAAAAAAAAAAAAGAAAAAAGACAAGCTGCCTGTGGTATACTTCATGTGAGGGGCACTGCTGTGCCTCAGCACTACATCCCACACCCACTTCCCAAAGCAACTGCAAAACTAAGCACTTGAGAGAGTGGGGCAAAACTAAACCTGTCCATCCGCTGGGCATGGATATTGGGCAGAGTAACCCTCAAAGTCACCCCCAGATGGGAATTTCTGCTGCAGCACCCTCCCTGGCATCGCTGCTGGGAGCAGGAGGGCAGAGAGCTCGGTCCCATCGGTCCACGCTGCGGAGCTGTGCTTCAGTTCCTACTGCATCTCACACAGCCTTGCAGCGTTGGTGCTGCCTGGAGGAAGGGCAGGAGCAATCTGCGCAGGGTGGAGAGCATTCGGTGTAAGACGCAATGAGTTTCATGGACTGGCTGCACTAGGTTACCAGAGCGTAAACTAAGTAGGGGAGTCCTCACACTGTCTCCAGGTGCTCCCCTTTATATATAAATTAGCAGTCCACAGTCAGTTTGCATACCAGTTAATATGAATTAAAACCAAAACCTTGATAATAGAAATTTATAACACACACATTGATCAATAGCAATAAAGTGAATGAAAATACTAGAATGTAACAGTGGCTGTAATTTGGCACAAAATAAAAATGCACAAAGGTCTAGCACTGTAAAAATAAAAATCCTTTTCTTCCCCCGCCCCAAGTAAGAGAATGTTATTAATCCTGATTCATAACCTGAAAGGTGGGAATGCAGAGATATAAAAATACTGTACATACAAGATCCCTTTTACAGAGTGAAGCAGACTGCAGCATTTGTAACTTCTGTCCTTCCTCCCCAAGAGGAGAAACTCAATAATGAGACTTCATCTATCCCCTAACAGCTGATATTTTCCCACCCCCACCAAGTTCAAAACCATGAAGTTCTTCAACAAAGAAGAGATTAACCTGTTGGGTCTATCCACGTGACAACAACCGCTTCTCGCTGCAGGAAGCTGTACAGTCCACATTAAGACAGTGTTTCGTAGCAAGGTGACTCAGATCAGCCTGCTGAAGACATCGAGTATCCCTGCATGTAAGGCACGATCACTCGGATTCGCCTGACCTCTCTTTTGCAGATCATTGTGCTTCGGACGGAGGCGAGGAGGTGGCGAGAGCTCTTGCTGGTGAGATGTGCCTACTGTGGAGGATTAGGAAGTGCCAGGATTTCACGGTGATGAATTTTCCACGTGGTGCCTGTTGCCTTGTTAATGCACAGAATCAGAAAGGGATGCAATACCTGAATGACCTGGGCAGGGGTCCCAGCAAGGGCTCCAACATGCTATTAAATCCAGAGCAACACTATAGGCAAAGCTACTGAAACTTGGCAAGAGAAGGCAGGAAAAAATGAAGTTACTTGAACATTTTTCTGTCACAGAATGGAAATATTGCTCTGATTGTTTCTTTTAAAAAGATCAACTTCATTGTGCCTCTTTCCAGGGACACATGTTCAAGGTGCTGATTTTGCATCTCGCCTACACAAGCTGCATCTTCTTGACTCTCAGCACAACTGTGGCTGCTGAGCCACAAGATGAATTGGCTCCTTGATCCGTGACCTTAACTCAGCTCTTGTTGACTTTAATGTCCATGGAATCTCCTTCCAAAAGTGGTCACTAAACATGTAAGTCCAGTTGCAACCTTCGCCTCAGGAAGTCTCCAACCTACTGACTGCACGAGTCCCATGAGGTGTGGTAGATGAACAATTGTGCTGTTTATACCCCATTTACTACACGCTTCCCTCAGCTACCATTCCTAGCATTTCTGTCTCTCTCAATAGGTGTCAGCCCCTTCTAACAAAACATCAGGGCTCCCCTTTTCACAAGGGCTATGGAAAAAAGAAACAGGAGAAACATTTACAAGGGACAGCAAATGAATAAAGGTAGGGAATAAGAATTAAAAGGCAAGGACTAAGGGAGGATATAAAGCAAAGCAGCCCATAAAGCATTCAGCACTCCCTGAAGGCATCCAAGGAAGCACCAGATGCTCCTGGGAGCCTTCCCTTGGGCTCTTGCCTCTCAGTGCCATGGCTGGAGAGCTTGGCTGGCCCGAGGAGGCCATTAAGGAGATCCTGCAGCTCCACAGAGTAGGCACTGAGATGTTCTTCAGACTTCACCCAGCTTCTAAATAAAATCAACCAGAGTTTTCACTCATATTATTTCCACTTACTTCCACTGAAGTCAACAATTCAGATACTCCCAAGCATCCCTACCGAATTAATAGGTTCTTCAAATGTCAGCAGGCTCAGGGCCTTCACGACTTTTCTGAGTAGAGTAAGACAGAAGTTACATCAGCCACCTGCAGTGCAGGACAGCCCATCACAGCCAGCTCAAGAGGCCCTGGGAGGGCTGAATTCCTAGTTGGCAATTTCCCCTTGCTTTGTGCAGGGGGTCACCATTTTTTGCCCATACACAGCAAGTACAAAGCACAACCACTTTCCGATTTGGCAGGATTTTTCCCTATCCAGTTTTCACAAGGGCACCAGATGATACAAGCAGCAGGGCCTGGACTAGGGTGTTTGTAGAAAGCAATAGTTCATAAAACCCCACCAGGCATCCACTTCATAACAATAAATACTCTGATGGCAATGTGGCAATGGAAAGGAAAAACCCATAGAAAAAAAAAAAAAGGCATTTTCAGTAGTAGAAATTTTGACTGTTACATGAAATACAAAAATAAGTTTTCACAAAATAAAATCATTGCAGATGAGGTTGCCACATTGGCCCAAGTTATCAAATAAAAAAGAAACAAAAATACGGTCTATGCTGGTCTTCTTCCGTATCCTTTAAAACAATGTTAACACTTCTGAATGGACAGAGATGGAACTAGAAGAGGGAACAAGGCAAGGACAGTAAAATCTAGCCACTGGCTGGGATATTTCCTGAGAAGCAGCAGCAAGCAAGCAAGAGCTTGCAATTCACTTAAGGGTTCGTGCAGGTGAGCAAGCTCATGGTCTGGAAGAAAGGGTATGCAGCTAATGCGATGCTGCTAATGCACAAAGTCCTATGTTACAACATTTCTGGCCAGTGTATGCCTGGAGTAGAGGTCTACTGGGGGTTAACTTGTTCTTCACAGGTAGTGAACTGCTGCCAACATCCCAGTGGGGGTAGGAGATGGAAGTTTCTTGAGCTGTTCGTCAAGGCAAGGCATGGGATCATGCTGCAGTATTAAACATGCCCTTGTAACTTAGGTGAAGGAGTTGCCCTGTCTTCCTAGTCATTTGTTTCTGTAACTATCCTGACCAAGGACAACAGCCAAGCTTAAAGCCTTACAGCCGCCTAGGGGCTTGAATTGTGCATTAGTGCAAGAGCAGAGCACCATGATCTCTTCTGATTTCCTATTGGTGCTCCACACCAACATGTGCTCTCCCCAAAGCTCTACAGAACTGTCAGGCGCCTTTCCCAGGCAGATTGGGGGCAAGGGCAAGTACGGTCATGGCTCTGCCTCCCCTCCTCAGCAAAGCCAGCAGCAGAATTGCAGCTGCCAGCAGAAGACCAAGAGCGTGGTGGGACAGACTCAGTGCTGGGCAACAAGGAAGCTGAGCTGCAGGGGCAACACAGCCAGGCTTGCTGCCGTGAACTGGACTGGCAAATGAATAACTAAACTGGACTGGCTGAACAGACTCCAAGCCAGCGTCCAGATGCTCAGCTTTGTTGTTTAAAGATGCATATGGCAAAAAAAAAAATTAGAAAGACAAAAGAACTGAAGTGACAGGATGCCAAGGGAAAAGGCTACTTGGTTTGTGCAAGAGAAGAACAATTTTCAAAGAGTGGAGAGAAATAAGCCATGGAAATGGAAGGGCGGGGTGGGGGGAAGGAAATCACTGCATGGGCAAATCTATACAGGCAACTTAAACTTGCAGACCCTGCTGTGCCCTAGAGAGCAATAGTTACCCTGACTGGAGTCTGCTTGGGGTGCTGGCCGGAGCAGTGCAGAGGGGAGGCGGTCAGCACAGACACTGTGTGGACTCTTCGGCACTCTGTGTCTAGCTCAAAGTTGCCTGTAACAGTGGATTTTGGATTCAATGCTCAATGCCCATATGACCCTCCTTCAGTCCCATGTTTCCAAGACATACACAGGTTTAGACACAAGTCACTGTACCCAAGCACATCAGCAACTGAGCTAGGAGTTACAGTAGCTCCTACTTGGCTTCAGTGAAATTCCTTGGCTTCTACCACACCAAAGCTCAAAACAGGTGACCAGAGGCATTTAAATATGTTTGTATGGTTCTTCCCAAACCACAACTCACAGCCTCATCAACTCCCTGGCAGGTCTTAAAAGTCACGCACACAAGGTCTAATTTCAGGTGAAATTGTATTTCTTCTTAACTGTTCTATCCTATATCCTGGAGCTAAATGCCTGGTTACACACTCTACCCAGATTGCTGGAAACCCTAGAAAGAAATACACTAGTTAAGAAATTTTGTTCTATAGGTAACTTCTTCCTCAACAGTCCCAGGTTCTGGCTTTTGCTGGTGTATGTTATGAAGATCTTCTCTCCTTCCTGCAAGCTAGCATGACCGTCAGCTTGGCTCAGCTGTCCTACCCAGCACAGGAAGAAACATGTTTCCTCTTATAACTCTCTTTGCTAAGTCATCCTAATACGGAAAGGACTTGTATTTCTGATGTCCTGCTGCACTGCCATAACCCTGCTCATATCCTGGATTTTCCTCCCTGTTGTATGTGCATCTCTATTTGTCAAAGGTCCAGCCAAAGCTTAAAAAAAAAAAAAAAAAACAAAACCAAGGGAAGCTTTGAAAGAATATAAGAGGGACCTGTTAAGTCAGCTACTTGATTCACACAGCTCAGTGGTGGCTAGATTATACTGCACTGCTTAGGTGATCACATACAAGTAAGAAATCAAAACAAACAAGTGTTCCTTATTAATATGATGACACTCAAAGAGGAGATCCTGGGAGTGGAGGCTGTACCTCCCACTGGGTAAGGAATCGAGAAAGTTGCCTGGCAATTCCAGTAATGTTTGCTACAGAAGAGTCAGTACCAAAGCAAAGGCTAGCATGGTCTACTGCTTCCTACGGGAACCTGGAAAGCAAAACAGAAAGAAAAAAATCTGTAAGGATAGATCCTGGTGAAGAAAATACCACCTGCAGTCATCTTTTACTTGTCCTGCCCTCTTGGATGTCTGTGGAACTTCCAGGGTGCTGGTATAGTCAAACACCAAAATGGGAACTGTGTGTGACATTACTCAAGCAAAAGGAAGGATAGGTCCGCACGAGGCAGACATTCGCATTTCTTCTAGGCTGTGAACAGCACTGCAGCCACATTGCACAGCCTCACTGAAGAAAACGGAACGAACACGGGGCTTACAGACTCCATGAAGTGCCATCAACTTTCCAGCTTGTCTGATGAACGCCGAACACATGAGTTTCCCAAACTTTAAATTTTGTAAGTAAACTGTCCACATTTAAGTCACAGTCAGTGGAGCTGGAAGAAATCTGAGCAATCGAGT